TGTAGTTTGAAGTGGTTTTGGTAAAGAGAGGGGGACCATGTCTTTAGAGAAGTCTTGAGATTGCTTTATTTTGTAATGAGAAAAATCTAACGTATTCTAAGCCCTCGCTCATCCACAACTGTTGCTATGGCAATCATATCTTTTGTAGTAATGTATAGCCTCTCTTAATGGACACTCTCTATAGCATACACCTCCATTTAACGGACAGCACCTAGTGTACCAATTACATTCCTTACTGCCTCCACATAAAGGACACCTCTGTATAACAGAGACACTTTTGACATACATGTACCTCAATTCTTATTATAAACTCATTCCTGTACATATACATGTACTTCACTAAATGGCTGCCTCTTGTTTTCATTATGCTAATAAAGTCCCTGTGAGTCCATTATCCACATAAAGGAAATGTCCATTTAACCATCAAAGAATGATGCTCCATCATTTTCTTGGTATGATATACAACGTAGCACATATACATATGCCTGTACGTGGGTAATGGATAATGCTGTGGGTGTGTGTATTGGGAGAGCCCCCTAAAGCTCCCAAAGATGACAAGTGTCATTGATCTTGTTGAGTTTGTTGTTGTTTTAATGATTTTTGGTGTAGGCGCTTGCTTTTTGGCAGGATAAGAATTCAAATTTAATTATAATGCTGTAATTTGAATTTTAATTTCACTTGTGTGAGCAGACTTGTAATCTTCCCCTTTGTCTTTAAATAAAAATAAAATAAAATAAATTAAATTAAAATGAAATAAAATAATTGTAATAAGAGCATTCTGTGAAATAAGGACACCTTTATAATGAGGACATCTTGTAATGTCCCAATTGGTACAAGCCTATACAAAAGTACCTCTGAAATGAGGACACCTCTGTATTAAGGACAGGTAGTGTGGGCCCAATGGTGTCCTTAATAAAGAAGCTACACTGTACATGTATTAAGGACAGGTAGTGTGGGCCCAATGGTGTCCTTAATAAAGAGGCTACACTGTACATGTATTAAGGACAGGTAGTGTGGGCCCAATGGTGTCCTTAATAAAGAGGCTACACTGTACATGTATTAAGGACAGGTAGTGTGGGCCCAATGGTGTCCTTAATAAAGAGGCTACACTGTACATGTATTAAGGACAGGTAGTGTGGGCCCAATGGTGTCCTTAATAAAGAAGCTGTATAACAATGAATGCATTTTAGGCGTGTTTTGGTATTTGTATTATCAAATTACTCCTTTGGATATTCTGGAATGATAATATTTCTATCATTTAGCTTAGCCTATCATGTCTCCTGCTACTCATGATCACATATCATACACACATATTAAATGTACATGTACATATACATATACATGTACATCTTTATGTACATTATATTTGTGATACTTCTTTGATCTTTGTCTCATCTCTCAAGCCTCCTATTGTGGACACTCTAATATAAGGACACACACAAACTGTCTCTCTCTCTCTCTTACTCTATATTTTGTCTTGTCTTCTTTTTGTTTTGTTTGTCTCTGTCTCTCTTCTCTCTCATCCACCCCCTCTCCTTCCTCCTCTCTCTCTCCCTTCCTCCCCCTCTCTCTCTCCCTTCCTCCCCCTCTCTCTCTCTTTCTCTCCTTTCTTAGTTTCATGTATTATTGTAGAGATGTTATCACGCGAAAACAAATCCCATCTTTGTACAAGTACTTGTCACAC